TTTAGTGGTCAGGAGTTTCTAGCAGAATGGTACGTGACATGCATAGATGTTATATTTACATTTCTGGTCAGGTAGGATATAGTTAAGATTGTCTCTGAAGAGGAGGAGAGTGCACATAATCATCCTGAATGTTGTTGTGCTGCTTTTACAGTTGTGAGACTTACCAGAAGCCTCATTTTCTATGTTTGCTCTAACATTTTCAAAACATGATTTCTTTCATGGAGAAATATGGTTTTACAGCAGCTGTGTCAGTGCTATGTAGGCAGTAATAACAAGGATAAGAATAACTCTTCTTAGTACAAAAAATTTCTTTATTGCCTTAATGACTCTATCATTCAATGATTTTAAATTGTAATGCTCTTTTTCCCTAAGAACACAAAAGATGCCCGTGATGATTAACTTATTATGTCCTTATTCTGTTCCTATGATGTCCTATGATTATAGGTGGGATAATGGGGTAAAAACTAACGTACTTTTTCAGAGATTACCAAATTAATTAGATAACTGGAAGGTCAGAGGTGAGTTTCTGACTGAGAGATTTGCCTCATTTAGCAGTCTCTTCCATTAGACTATAAATTTTAACGAATGAGAAAAACTGTTTTCAGGTATGGAGACTTTGAATATGCTGTGGTAATCAGGCAGCATGAACTAACATTTTGGAAACATACTTCCTTTTTCAGTGGAACATTTATGTGTTATTTTTTTCCCACTATCATGTATAATGCAACATGGAGGAAGTCCTCCCCAAGTTTCACATTTGTGGGGGAAGTGCCATTCCTGGAGATTAGTGCCCGGAAGGAGAAATGACCCTCTTATCTCTGAGGTAGTCATAGTGTGCTTCACGGGGAAACAGGCACCATGGAATGTCAGTGGTGATAATTTTGCGGATGCTTTCCATAGCAGTTGTTAATATATTGAATCAGAAAAAAATGGAAAGTGATTTCTACAGGTAGAAAAATACAATTTATAAGTTTCAGCGTGTATCTTTACCTGAAACATCATGTACATCTGTGTTTTCTTAGGTGTATCTCAAGCATGCACATACTTTCACATGTCTATTTCTTTGCATTATATTTCTTTTCTGGATGGAATCCCCTCTACATTTTCTTTTATCTCAAGTATCTGTTCATTTCTTCAGGCCTCCATTAGCTGTATTCTTTTTTTGGAGGAAATCTTGATCCCTTTAACAGCTTGCTGTCTTTTTGTATTTCTAGAGCACTTTGTTCTTGTCACTGATAGATGTTTTTATTTGTTGGTTAATATAATCTCTTTCCATCTTTATAACTCCCAGTCAAGTCTGTGCTGCACAGTGGCATGGACTGCCCTTTTCAATTTTGGATGATGGGTGAATATTTTGGGTACATACTCCCTATTAAATGAATAAACTGTATTATTATTATTATTATATATAATGATTATATTATTTGTGCACCCTCTTTTGTAAAAGTGTTTAACATTGTTTCTCAAAGGAAAATTGGAAGAGGAAAGGCAGAGAATGGTAAATAAAATGACCAACATAAGCAAATTCATACCCTGAATCTATAATTGAATTTGAAATATGCATATAAGTGCATTTGCATGTACAAGAAAGCAAACATATAGAAATTCTTCATTGTACATTTTAAAATCTATCCTGTCATTATTTTATCTTTTGTATTTTAACCTAGAAAGTATTTCTGATTTCTCCCAAGTTGTACATTTCATCAATATTCTATGTACTTTGTGCTTCAGGATTTTTCTGAAGTGTTCCTTAGTGCAAAGATTTGAGTGTAATCAGCATGTGATGAATAGAATGGACTCAATTCAACCGCTATGAACAGAGAAATGTATAAGCTCACATGGATAGTGCTCTTTAGCTCTTGAAAACTTGTGTTCTGACTCCTGTTTACTATGTCTTTCAAAAAGCACAGAGCTACGGGTTAGGGATTCTAGAATGCTAATGTGAAATAGTAATTTTTTCTTGAAATAATAACTTTTACATTGAAATTAATGTAACTACAAAATACTGTGAATTTTCACAAGCATTCCAGGTGACTTATTTACCAAGTTTAAATAAATGAAAATATTAGAGTTATTTTCTTGCTCTCAAGATTAAACTGATGCAAATCTATGTAAAGATTTTTTGGTTGTTATTAATATAAGACTCCCTCTGACTCCAGTTCTCTACATGGCATTTTTAAATTAGAGAATAAAGCATTGTTTGTTATTTGTTAAAATAATGAGAACTTGTTTTTCTGAGTAATTTATTTATGACAACAAAACAGCCACTTGTTGGCAACATTTCAAAGCAAGGAGGCCAAGAAGAGAACCTGTTTCTTTTGGTGTGGAAGCTCTTAGTCCTGTGTTCCAGGGATTTGCTAATTGTCAACTGCCATCAGATTTATAAGGCAGAAAAGCCTGGACTTGTGTGGTTGCCACTTACTTCATAAGCAAGACTAAATGTGTACTAGATTCAGGACTAAACTACTGACATGTCGATCTTTGCTTCTTTGATCATAGCAAAGAACCTGTGTGCTACGTTTGGTCACATATTAGCATTATTCTTCACCTTCATGCAGATTAACTGCTAAGTAGAGTATGTCTGGTTCCCTGTCTTTCTATTTATCCACCTGTCTGTCTATTTAGCCATTTATGCATCCATCCCATCCATCCATGCATCCATCTACCTAACACTAGGTTTAGATTGGGGTAGAATAATCTCTGAAAGAACATGTTACGTTTATGGCTGGCAGGCAGTAAATATTTTAGGTTTGTCAAGCATTCTTTCTCTGTTCCAACTGTTCAGCTCTGCTACACTGGGCAAAAACAGTGATAGTCAATATATAAATAAATGGCATGCTGTGATTCAAGGTCATGTCGTTTACAAAAGGTTGACTTGTAAATTGTGGTTCAGAAAGTGTAAGAATCTAACTCAACATAGATTGTATGCTACACAAAAACTTTAAAAAATATTTCAATGCTTATAAATATGTTACCACAGCTTATGTCTTAGGGTTGTTAGCTTAATTATCATCTGACTTGGAGTGTTATCTACAAAATATTTTACCATTTTTCTTTTATTTAAACATATTGATCATTTAAACTCATTTTTTTCTGGTACTGATTATGGATTTTATTGGTAGGGTCTATGGCCATGCCTCTGAACACACCTAATCTCATCTAATGTTATTGATTTGGACACACATACATGCACACATACACACACACACACACACACACACACGAATAAAGAATAAAAATGTAGCAACATTAGATTTTATAATTTTTACTTAGAGGTTAAAAAAACTGTATTTTGACATGAAAACATGGCCAAGACATGTTGCTAAGTGAAAAATTGAATTTATAAAGCTTCTAAGTAATGTGTACAATGTGGCTCTATTTGTAGCAAGATAAAGGACAGGCCTATGAATATATTTATCTCCATACATATTGTAAATATCTAAACATATACTGTCAGTCAGAGTTCTTAATTTCCGAACAAATGAAATCAGTTCAGTTCAATATGAGCAGAACATACTTACTGAAGGATAATAAACAACTCAGAGATCTCTGGAGTGCCTGAGAGGCAGGCTTAAAACAGTGCTCAAAGTCACTGTCCTGCAGAGACGCCCAGCAGCTGCCAGTGGGCCCTGCACTGCTGTCTTGGCCATTGTCACCGCTGGGTCTGGATGCTGGATTTCCCTCCTGTTTTTAGTACTCTGGAATGGATTGTGCAGCATTGCTGCTTTTTTCATGTCTTTAGCGTTCAATTCGAAGTCTACTGCAATGTATTTGATGGACAGTTTGTTCTTTTAACCAGGAGGTAAGGGAATCTTAGGAAGCAATATGTGGAACTCACTCTGTGGCAGACAAGGGCCTGCCTTGTGAGGTGGAAGTTTTGCCAAATGTAAGAAGAGGATTCAGAAGCTTGACTGCTTCCGAATGAAACGGTGAAAGGGGTGCACTGTAGACACTCAGGAAACCCTTAGAATTAAATTACTTCTGGACCGTGAAGTTGCAAGGACAAGGGAACAGGATGGGGCTTTTAGTCCATTTTACTCTTCTGTGCTGTTTGAATTAAAAAGAAAGGTGTATATAACAAAAAGTGTATGTAATAAAAATACTGTTGGAAAAATTTAAAAAAGGGAGAGAGCGTTTTACTCAGCTCTTGTGCTATTCTGTTTCTCTCAAGAAACTCAAAAGTTTCCCAAACCAGGCAGCTTCATCAGCTTTCTACTCAGTTTTGTTTCAAAATTCTCTTTATAGTTTCCTTTGATTCATGCAACCTTATATTGAATGTACTTGGGTGGAGAGCAAGACATAAAATGGTTTTCTTTGGGAGACCGCTGGCTTGTTTTTTCTGGCTTGGTAGAGCTGATTCAGTTCATCTTTTTGAGGTCTACTATAGGTGCTTTGCATGAAGGGTTTCAGCTGCTACAGTTAGTGAAATGTTCATAGACGAAGGTGCAAAAGTAAAAAACAACTAAAATGTGGTCCTAGTATGTTTTTTTCCCTTGTTTTTCAAACCACTGTGTAATTAGTGCTTCATGGAAATTCATCCCAAATTAAGTTTTAGCAGATATATTAATGTTTGGAACTTTTAAAAAAATGGTTCTAGGTTTACAAAATACCAAAGATATTTTAAGGAATTCCCATATATGACACATAATTTCCCCTATTATTAATATCTTACATTAGTGTGTACAATTAATAAGCCAATACTTCATTATTATTGACTAAAGTCCATACATTATTAATAAATGTCCTTAGTTTTAAATTAAAGGCTTTTTTTTTCTGTTGTAGGATAGCCAATATATTTTATACATATCTATCCTGTTTGTTTACCTGCATAGTAGTGTCCTACAGCCATAGAAGGCTATTGCTAATTTAAACAAATTACAGACTTTGGGAAAAGAAGAAGTAAAGATTAAGATTTGTCACAAGAAGGTTCTTATATTCTTTTAGGCACAATGTCACATACAAAATTAAATGTTTATTTTTCTCCTTTATTCTATATTTAGTGGAACAGGTTCCTGTAGAACCCTACAGTATTCCACTGTCACAAGCTGAAGTCCTACAGGAAGGAAGTGATATTACTCTAGTTGCCTGGGGCACTCAGGTTAGTATGGTGATCCCAACTCTTAAAGCCCACATTGTGCCTGGAAGCCTTATTTTAAATTCTCATGTGGGGAGAATTGAAAATGATGCTTGTGTTATATTTAGATTAAGAGTATTTGGTGCTATTGATGCTGATTGCTTCTTTTTTTTTTTTTTTAAATGTGACAGGGTCTTGCAGTGCAGTTCAGGTTGGCCTTGAGCTCACTTTGTAGCCCATGCTGGTCTTGAACTCGCAACGATTCTCCTGCCTCAGCCTCCTGAGTGCTGGCTAATTGCTTTTTTTTGTCTTATTCTATTGAGGTATAATTGCAGAAATATATATATATGTATATAGTGTGGAAGTATATATATGTTCAAGATACTCAAAGTGAAAATTTGATATATGTATACATTGTGAACTGATTGCAATAGTCGAGTCAATGACACATTCAGTACTGCAGAGTTACCATTTGTATGTGTATGTACGTGCATGTGTGTGATGAGGACACTTAAAATGTCAAATTGGGGCCAGGGATTTAGCTCAGCATCGTAAGTGCCTGTCTGGCAAGCATGAGGTCGCAAATTCAATCCCCAGTACCAAATAAATAAGTAAATAAACAAATAAAAGAATAAAAGATGTCAGATAGTAAATTTCAAGCACACAGTATATTAGCCGTAGTCATTATTCACAGAATTTACTTATAACCTAAAGTTTGTGGTGCTGATTTGACTGATGGGCCTATTCTGTTATACTAAAATATATAAGCATATGATAAATAAGCTGAAAGTTTGCAAAAATGCATTGATTTAAAACACTTTTGATGCATACTATCAATCCACATTCCTGTTTCTGCACTTGATTTAGGCTCTTTTTGCTCCCATTTCTTATCCTCTGTCTTCTAAGTACTTTGCTGGCCACATGGCCTCACCCAGTGCTTCAGCCTCAGCAGTCCATATTTTCCTCTTCTCTGGGGACCTTCTTCACTGACCCACCTCAGCTTTTCCTGTGTCTTCTTGTCACGTTTCTCTACCTCCAAACTTTAAGCTCAACTTTTTCTCTTGTCATAGACTCTGTATCTGAGTCTCTCTGTTCATCCCTCCCTCACCCACCTTTCCTCACTTCCCCTTTTAAATAAATGGTTGCTTTTTCTGTATTAAAAAAAAAAAAAATTTGTTTTAGTTAACCAAGGGCAGTGTCGTATGTGCTTATTTTATAAAAGTAAAGACAGCACTAAATATAAAGACATTCATAAAGCTTTTTACAGTGCCCCAAGCTCCTGCTGTCTGATCGTTGGAGAGCTGCAGTCCTTTGAGTTCTCACCTAGAGTAGGGTCACCCTGTGCTTGCTGAGTCACATCCCACTGAGGAACCATTTTGTCCTCCACACATCCTGTCACCTTGTCTCTCTTCTTTGCTGGAAAGTGAGTGCACATTAAGTCCTGACTCACATACCTTGCCCTTGTGTCACACCCTCCACTTCTGTGTTAATCTTTGCCTCTTTTAGTCTTTGAAGAAAATGTGTGTTAGCCTTTTGTAGCTGCGCTGCAAGTCTGTGTCAAATTGCATTCCATTCTCTAGGACCATGATAAACAGCTGATGCCTCACTCTTTTGGCTGTTGAGATTTCCTCTCTATGTTTCTTTTATTAAAAAGGTTTGTGTCTGTATATCTGAAGAATGCCTTTCCCTTTAAATAACTTTTATCACTAAACTGTTTAATTTGTGTGTGTGTGTGTGTGTGTGTGTGTGTGTGTTACTTGGAGTCAAGCTCAAAACTGTATTTCAGGCAAACACTGTGCCACTGAGCTGTAACCCAAGTTTCCCTTCCTCTTCCCATTTTTCATTTTATTACATTTTACTCTATTTTAGTACATTTTAAAAAGTGCCTATTTTTCAATGTGGTAACTTTGTACCTGCATCTAATATATTCAGATGATGTTCATTCACCTGTTACCCTCTTTTGCATACACTATTTCCTTCTTGTTGAATATTCATGTCCTTTCTAATTTTCATGCCATGTTTTTTTAAACTTTCTGCAGTCTTGGGAAAACATGTGATACTTGTCTTTCTGAGTATGGCTTATTTCAGTTATCCTAGTAATCCTAGTAATCTCCAATTCTATCTCCAATTCTATCTATCTATCTTTTCCTACAGATAACAGTTTGGATTTTTATGGCTATCTATCTATCTATCTATCTATCTATCTATCTATCTATTATCTATCTATCTATATCCACATACTCTTTATCCATTCTTTGTTTTTGGGCCTAGGCTGGTTCTGTAGCTTGGCTCTTACCAATTTTGTCACAATAAACAGTAGTATGCAAGTATCCCTGTAGTATGCTGATTTTAGTCTGCAAAAGCTGTATAACTGAGTCATATGGTATATTTGTTTATAGTTTTTTGAGGAACTTCTGTATTGATTTGCATATTCCAAGCACTTTTTAAAAATTTTTTGAAAGAGGGTCTAAGTTGCCACTAAATTGCACAGGCTGCTCAGTTTGTGAATTTTTTGCCTCAAACTTTAGAGTAGCTGAGATTATAGGCATATGCTACCATGCCTGGCTCTTATAATTAAACTTGGAGGTTATATTATAGTATCTGTATTTAATTGCTTAATTTCTTTGTATTCCTATGTCTTACAACCTTTGTATCCATTAATTTACTAAATCTACTTTCAGTAATCTATTATTGTAAATGCTAAATCTAAACCGTATCCTACACTTTTATTTTATGTGACATTGGCTGCTATCTTTCTGAAATAGATTTTTTCTTTAATTTCTGGGATATTGTGTCTCCTGTTTTTGATTTTTAAATTTTTTTCTTACCTTTAGCTATTTTTTTTTTTTTTGTGAGCTACTGTTACTGCTGTTTTTCTCTGATATGTTGGTGAGCTATGGATTCCATGATGTTTGCTCTATGTTTCTTCTTCTCTGTGCTTTCCTTACAAAAAAACTACTTATGACTTTACCTACTATGTGTTATTTTTGTAATTAGAATCTTTAGCACCTACTTCATTCCTTTTTTTTTTTTTAAGAATCTTTGTTTTTTAGACATTTATATTTGATTCCTTTGGCAGAATATACATTTAACATGTCTAAAAAATACGAATTCTTTATATAGATCTATTCCATTGACTATAAACAATATCTCTATAAATATTGATGTCAGCATTTAACTAGTGTTTTTCAGACATGAGTCTTTCTAGTCGATCTCTGAATATTTTTCTTTTCTTCTCAGGTTCATGTGATCAGGGAAGTAGCTTCTATGGCAAGAGAAAAGCTTGGAGTGTCTTGTGAAATAATTGATCTAAGGACTATTATACCTTGGGATGTGGATACAGTTTGCAAGGTATAAACAATATTAATACACTATCATTTCCTCAGGACCTTGGTCCAAATTTGTTGGATATTTGTGAAGAATTGTTTGAAAATTTGAGCTGCGTATTTCTGATTGATCTGAAATTTTGAAATTTGCATTGTGAAAGAAGTGGGTGTTGTATAATTATCTTAATACTTAAGGAGTCTAATCACTTTAGAGTTTCTTTTTCCTCCCATAGTTTTCTGTGTCTAAAACAGAACTCCTTTCATGCTGCCAGCACATTGGGCTCTGTGTAATGAGATAGTATAAATAAGGGAGCATATCAGGGATGTTGAAGACATGTTGTGTTTTTAACTTATTGGTTATGGTTAGGTGGGCTGGGCTTAATTTAGTTAGATGAATGCTTTGGCTGAATTTTCATTCATCTTCTTTCCATAAGTGAGAAAAGACTAGTCTTTAAATTAAAGCCCTGTTTTTATAGCCGTAATAGTATAGATCACAGTATTATGTTGTGGGATTCTGGCTGCTCTAATAAATAGTTTCTAAGTTGTCTCTTGATCTTTGGCCTAATTAGATAGATTTTGTTCTTAGTATTAATAGAATTCTTCTAATGCTTTCCCAAGAATATAGTTTGGTTCTTATATATTTATCTATAACATATATTTCATATTAATGAGTAGATAATTTAAAGAGCATCTGTTCTCTTGTTAGTTCATAAGACAGATTAAATTCTTTTTCTGTGATGGTCTTGTCTACTAAAACACAGGTAATGTTTGCATCTTCTGTATTTTTGTTATGGATTTACTATTGTAGCAAATCATTCCTGGAGTATTGTACATTTTTTATTTTGTAGAGCTTTAACATTCTCATAGCTTTTGTAGCTATTTATTAGGATGGCTATATGAAAATAATCTATAGATACTATTGCTGTAAAAGTGTAGCACAGGATATTTTTATGTGAAGATTGTTTTATGATTTAGTAGAAGATTGTTACAGTGAATTTTTTTGTATTCAGTTGACATTATCTGAACAATTGATATGGTTGCCAGTGTTTTCAACACTATCCTAAACCCTTATATTTGAAGTTACTGTAATTAAGAGCAGTAATCCATATTGAATTATTTAGAACTATGTGAGAAATAATTTAATGCCTGTGTAGGAATTTTAAAAACAAACTAGACATTTGAGTTTTTTCTTAACCAAATAATCCAGTATTGCAAATTACAATTCACCTGAAGCTGACATCTCGATTGCAGCCTGGATTTTCCATGTGGGTTTGTATTTTTAGTATGGTGCTTCTGCATGGGCATGTCTTGGTACTTCCTTCTTGTTGCTGAAACAAAATATCCAATGCCCGAAGTTAAGGAAGGAAATGTTTATTTAGCTCACAGTTTGTGCAAAGTTTTAGTGCATAATCTCTTGAGTCCAAGACAGGGTGATTTATGGCAGAGGACAACAGTTCGTGGTGGTGGAAAACAGCAAAAGCAATATGAGCTAAAGAGGGAGGAGTCTCCTTCCCTTACATTGTATGCAGGCTACACACCTTAGCATGAGTGTAGCATTCACATGCATAAACCCAACATCAGACCATGAATCAATCACTGACGCTAGAAGCCCACCCCTGTGACTGCATGAGGGAGACATCTAGACACAAACCATAATAGGTCTTATCATGTTTTTGCATGGCATTGTGGGTGGTCTGATATCTAGCTAGGCTAAGCACTTTTAGAACTTTATTAACACACTTGTGTACTTCTACATTCAAACAAGATTTCTAGCAGCTTGCCAAAAAAAAAAAAACCACAAATGTAAGCCGGGCATGATGGCTCATGCCTATAATACCAGCACTCGGAAGGCTGAGGCAGGAGGATCCTTGCGAGTTCTTGAGACCAGCCTGGGCTACAAAGTGAGTTCAAGGCCAGCCTGAACTGCGTAGAGACCCTGTCTCAAAAAGACAAAACAAAACAAAACAAAAAACCACAAATGTAGTAGCATGTCAAGTTGTTAACTCTGAAAGCAGAGAGGAGCAAGAAAGAGAGAGAGAGAGAGAGAGAGAGAGAGAGAGAGAGAGAGAGAGAGAGGAATTCTTTATATTAATTTCTATGTCAGTTTGTTTTGTCCTCCTTTATCAACTCTGCAGCTTCTTTGTATGGTCCTGAAATGTAGATCCCACATCCTCTGGGCTCTGTGCTATAAGGAAAGGCAAAAGAGGAGTATATAGCCTTCTGTTGAATGGGATTAGCTCACTGATGTGTTAGTATCCAATTTTTAGTTTTGTGTTGAGATGCTTTCATCATGTTGTTTTTCTAGTTTGATGACCTTTCAGTTGTGACAGTGTAAGCCAACCTTTCAGCCTGTTATTTCATGATTACTTTGGGTCTCTTTGTAACTTTCCTCATTGCTGATTGGGGACCATCTTCTGTTATGTTTCATGTATCAAAGGAGAAAAAATTTAGTACTTAGCTTTTTCCATAGAAATTAGAGGTGATTTGAGGGAAAAGGGCCTTGTAGCCAAATATTCACATTAAAAGTGAAAGCTTTTTTGGGGGATGGAGTAGGTAACTAGCTTTTCTTCTTTATGAATTTTATAGTCAAAATTTATATTTATAATCCCTTTCAGCTAGCTGTGTTTTATTAGTTGCTTTTGTTTTAGGACAAAATTAGTTGTCCTAAAAATTAGTTTTGCTTATTATGTGTCAGCTCACCACCAACATGCATCTTTTGGAATGCCTAATCAAAATAAAGAAACTATTACAGTTAAAAATGATTTATTAGATACATATATTAGTGAACTTTACACAGTAAAATTACTGGGGTTGAAGGGTTTATACGTTTTGCTTAGCTTTGGTGCATTTAGATACAGGGAAAATAATTATGTTTTGTTACACAGCTGTCAACTTCAAATGCAGATCTAAGTATGAAAAAGAAAACAAATCTCTTGGAAGAAGGCATAGGTGAATGTCTTTATGATCTTGCCCACTAACAAAACAGTAACATTAACAAAAGACTGATTGCATTTTATTTTAAAAATTAAGAAAATTCAAACAGGTACCAGTAACAGTAGATAACCTATGGATTTGGAAAAACTGAGGGAAACTTATGTCCAGAAATATCAAGTACTTTTATATCAAAAAGAAAAGACAGACATCTCTTGACAAGGTACTTCACAAAGGAAGATAGCCAGATGGCTAATGACCATATGAAAAGCTGCTTAATTTCTTTAGTCAGCCGGAAATGTAAAACCCTACAGTCACAACATTCTGATTAAAATTAAAAATACCCCAAATATTAAGTGTTGGCAAGGGAGTAAAACATCTCACCTCTCGTATGTTATGGTACAACCAATTTGGAAAGTTATCAGTATACATTTGAGCCCTGTAATCCATCTATATAAAGTTTATGCACATGTTCCAAAATCAAAAAACAATTCTGAAATCTGAAACACTTCTTGATCCAAGCATATTGGATGAGGAATGTTGTCTGCGTATTGTGCCATTTATTAACTCTGGAGAGCCTTGACGTGTTTTATCTGGGGAGAGTTCCTTTTGTCATGCAGTTCTGTTCACAACCCTTTGTTCCGATTCTCTTTGTAAGCGTCTCTGCTGTCTTACTGATAGGAAACAGGTGCTTAGAAGTAGAGCTGTTCTTTCCCAGATCTTCCCTGGAGTGAGAACAGCGGTTAAGGCCCTGGCTTTACTGAACTTTCCTGCTGAGATGCTGACCACAATCCATGTGAGCTGGAAAGTGAACTGCAGTCTCACAAAGCAGTGTCGTGAGCCTTTCAGGCGCTGTCAAGCTTGAAAGCAAGACGTAAGTGGGTAGAGATGCAAGGAAGCCTAGGAAAAGACAACTTGATTTTAGGAGGAGAATGGTATGCTTTGGAAAAAACTCCGTAGTTTACGAATCATATTGTTATATAATTTAGAATGAACTATTGAGGAAAAGAATAGGAAAAGACAGTATACAAAGCATAACTTTTATCAAGAAGGTAAAATCAATACATAGTTCGGATGTATTTAAATTTTCACTGAATGTTATATTATGCTAATTCTTAAAATAAGGATTTGCCCTCACATCTTGACTTTTTTTCTCTCTTTTTCTCATGTTCTGTCATTTCACATTTAATCCCGAAAAAGATCCTGCTGGTTTTAACAACATAATATGTGCACAATCTGGCCATCATTTCTCCTGCTGTTTATTTTCCTCGACCTTGGTCCAGCCACTAGCATGTCTCACCTGGGTTTTGGTCATGGCCCTTAACTATTGTTTCTCTCTTCTGACTTTCCCATGTCATAGGCAGAGTCTTATATGAGTCTTATTGTATCCCTCTAGTCTCAGAAGGCCTCAGTGGTTTCTCGTTAAACTTGATAAAAAGCTAACTCCCTTACCACAGCCTATGAAGATTTACTTGGTCTCAGCATATTCCACAACCCACTCCTCATTCACTCCTTTCCCAGATACCTCCTGGTTCACTCCCATGAGTTACTTGGGTGGAGTTTCTCATACAAGGCTTTGCAGACCAGATTATATAATATTGAATCTCCTTATGAAGATTCTCTTCTCATGTTTCTTTTTTTTTGCTGCAGTGATTAGCAAGATATTAACATAACATATTGAGTAAATTGACTAGCATAATTCAGATTATAACATTTATTTATGTGTCTTATGTTTTAGTTTGACCTACTTTTTTAAGGGTGACTCATTTTTCATAATGATACATAAAATTTTCCATCTGAATTTTGATTGTTATAGCACCAAAATTGGACACATTCTTTAGTGAAAGGCAAAGTTAAAGGTGAAACTGACTGGAATGAATGGCAACTATCTTCAGTTCCTAAGAAATGAGTTGCTTGCATAATTACATTTTCTGCACAGATGAGAATTACTGTTTTGTGCAGCAGTTTTTAAGAATTTTTAATCCTTGAATGTCTGTTTTTCTAAAATATTTTCACTTATGTTTTCTCAAGGGAAAGATAATGCATATAATTTCATTTAAAAAATACTTCAGTCCTAGTGAAAATGGATTGCTA